CGTGATAGATAAATTCCATTGTTCAACCATTAATTCATCAACAAGTTCTTGTATAGTTGAATTTTCAAAAAAGCGACTTGGTAAAGATGAGTCAAGTGCAGTTACAGTCAGGGATGTATTAGGTAAAAAATATGAGCTTAATCTCTCGATACATGTTTCGTTATAAAAGCATTCTACAGTTGAGTGTAACAAAGATTCCATTACAAAACATCCCGAATAAATGCCCGGTATGGAAAATAATTTAGTAGTGTTATCAACTCCGTCGTAGATAGCTGACTGCTCAATACATGATAATGAAACATCACATCGACAATTTGAGTATACTTGAGGAACTGGTGCCACAAGTTGCATTCCAGGTAGTCTTGGAGAAGACGACATGCGTAAATCGTAATTTGTCCAACGTGCAGAGAATAAGGCATTGATTTGTGTTGTGTTTTGTATCATTTGTAATGATAATAATAACTGATTAGTTATCAAAGAGATATATTGTTCAAATATTGATTGCATTTGTAAATCCAACAAATCTGATGAGATAACTGCAGCACTTATATATTGAGTTGAATAGAATCGATTTAAACTATCAGAAATAGTCTTATTTGTTAATTCACAAAACGTACGTAAAGCTTGAAAAAAGAATTTACATGATGATCGAAAATCACGAAAATAAAAACTATTATTTAGAGAAGACAATGAAATAATTTGTCTCCACTTGTCGCTAACGTAAATACTATTGCATATTTGATGAAATGTATGTTCCACATGCAGAAACGCTTTATAATCAATAGATATTGTTGTACATGGACACGTTAGCGTTTCGGAATGAGTTGAATATAATTCTAAATATTTTTTAATAGTCGGTACATGAATATTGATGGTATGTGTGACCTTAACTGAAAACGTATATATGACGATAGTAGTTATTGAAAGAAGTAAGCATAAAACAAATAATCTTGTTGATATTCGTTGAATACGAAGATCAAAAGGATTAGTTGAAGGTGGTATGGATGGAAATAAATTGAAGTTTTGACAAAAATTTATTATCTTCCGCCGTGATCCAATAGTAGATTGATTAGTGTTATTGACTTTAGTAAATAAATACAAAAATTACTTCAAAATGAATTGTAATTGTAATACTAATCGCAAGTATTTAGTATATACTTATTGTGTGTTCTAGAAATTTGTCTTCAATTTCGGTCCTATTCTTTCATGTACAAGACCATACAATGATTCACATGATACAAGTCTTTCTCTATTTTCTCTAATTTATTTACTTGCTTAGAATTGTTTGGAAAACTCCATGAAATTCGCAATAATTCCATAGTAATTTGTCAAGTTACTAAGGAATTATCGATGGTTCTTTATAATATTTTCACGGATTCTTCATTTTCAAACGAAGGAACGAAATACCACAAATTTCGAGTGTATTGCTTATGATTATCTAAGAAATAAGTCAAGGAGCACAGTACTACATTCACTATTGCATTTTATATCTATTCATAAATACAAAACAACGAAATTGAAAGTTACCAAATCTTTTTTTCTAGAATATCGTTTCAACGAAATGAAATGCATCTATTAGAAAGTTCTCGGAATCGCTTGTACGACAACGTGTGATTTTTTGAAGTTTGATCCTTGTGCTTATGCTACTAAGACTGTAGATATAGCATTGTGACAATCAACCATTCAAAAGCTCATTTAAGGATACTTTGCTTTCCAGCACACTTCGAGAACGACTGATCAGAAATATTTGAAGCTTTCAGGATAAGTTGATCTCAATGAGTAGAACGAAATTACTAGATGCTTTTTTCTGGAAGATATGGAGATCAAAAAGCAAAAAGAAGCCATCCTAATCTCTTCTGCTTCTCTAAGATGGTACATTCTTTAGAGCTGAAGTTTTTTTTTGCAGATACTAAGCACACTTTGGAGTACCAATTTTTTTGTCTTTCATTTTATCTTTTTCTTTTTGATTAAAAAACAAGTCAAAAAACCGAGAGCACTCTAAAATATATGTGTTTTTCTGAATCATGTGGTTTTTATTGGACCTGCCAAAAAACAACGGTACAACACTTTTTCAAAGTAAAACGGAATGGACACTCAAAACACTATCCAATACTTGAAGAGAAAGTTTTAGCTCGATCAGATGTATTGTGTATGAGAAACGGGATGATTTCGTAAGTTTTTGATCAAAAATCAGGTTTCTAAAAAAATCTGGACAGAGGAAAAAACTTCGCTGCTTTCCTATAGAAAATGTCACAAACTTGCGATTTTTCTAGCGAGAAATGGGAGTTCTCTTCAACAATAAGCTTATTTAGATACAAATATAAAGCGAGCGAATGTCATTTTTGAAACTTTACTCGAAGAATTTATATATACTATTCGCTGGATTTCATTTAGAATCACATTAAGTCCTAAACATATTTTCCATGAGAAAACCTTAGTGGTTCTCTTTGAAGTTATAAATAGACAGCGAGCACGTAAAAATTCCCGTCTATCTCGGCTTATCGAACTGAGTTTATTTTACGAAAAAAACATGTTTACAATTAATCCTCAAGCTTGAAAACTCTCACATTAATAAACTTAGTTAGATGAGAATTTAACGGGAATGACGATGGTAAGTAACATTCAAATAAACTACCAATAGTGTTTAACTGCTTACGAAAGATCTTAATTTTAGTAAATAAATCACAAAATTTTATATCAATAAGTCATATCCTTTTCGCTTACCTGGTTGTATCTTTGTTAATCTTTTCCTGTTTCTTACAAGTTTAACTAGTCGTGGCACAATAAACTTCAGTACTGTTACCAAACCACCAGCTAAACCAAACAATATAGTGACAATATAAATAATGTCATTCCTAGCTGCATAAGTATAAGTACACTGTATTGGTTGACATGCATTGTAATAGCTCTCAAACGTTGTAGATAAATTCCATTGTTCAATCATTAATTTATCAACAAGTTCTTGTATAGTTGAATTTTCAAAAAAGCGATTTAGTAAAGATGCATTAAGTGCTGTTACAATTAGTGAGGAATTATATGTTAAATACGTTCGTAATTCATTGATACATGTTTGATTGTAAAAGCATTGAAGAGATGACTGTAATAATGCTTCTGTTACAAAACATCCTACATATTGACCTTGTACTGAAAACAATCTAGTTTGATCAGAATATCTATAAATAGATGATTGACGGATGCATTTTGCTGAATCATCACAACTACAACCGGAAAGACTGCGAACATTTAATGATAGATTTCTAGAGTTATTGTATTTCTGTAAACGGTATTGTATACCTGCTACACTCCATAAACTGTCAGCTTGAACTGTATCTCGTATAACTTGTAATGATAATAATAGATCTTGCGTTGTCGAAGAAATAAATTGTTCAAAAAAGTATTGAGCTGTTGATTGAAATAATTGTGTTGATGTAATCGTGGCACTAACATACTGTGTTGAATAAAATCGAATCAAATTTTCAGAAATAGTTTTATTTATTAATTCACAAAATCCACTTAGTGCTCGAAATGTGTTTGGGCCGGTCCATCGAAAATCATCTACAGCAAGAATAGTGTTTGAAGAACGACCATCAATATAATTTATCCAAGCATTGGTGACAAAAATGCTACTGCATACTTCATGAAATGCATATTGGATACGAAGAAACTTTTCATAAGTGACAGATATTGTAGTACATGGGCATGTCAAAGTTTTTGAATGTTGAGAATATAAGTGTGAATATTTATTGAGAGTAGGAGTTTTAACATTGACGCTCTTTGTGACCTGTACTAATGACATATATCCAAGAAGAAGGGATGTGAAGAGAATGAAAAGAAGAATGAATAATCTTGTTGATATTCGTTCGTTCAACAGGTCAAACTCATTGGTAGAAGGTGGTACAGATTTAAACATATTAAATTGTAGTAGTGTATTTTTTAACTTGGTAAACAATGAAGAATTTTGTTGTCGAACATCGGTGTCTTAAAAAAACAGAAATAGTCGCATAATTTTTCATTGGTCTTTTTAAACAAAGATGAATAAGAGAATTTTAGAAATTTGAAGGCTTAATTCAAAATGAAAATTTTTCACAACATAGCCAGTGACGATATTGATAGGTTGCTGAGTATTTGATGTCAAATCTGTTTTTCTTTTTGAGACAAAATTGTGAATACTTGAATGTTTAGTAATATATACGGATGTTACATATGTTGTCGAAAAAACAAGTTTTTATAGAGTTTTGATCGTTGTCAGACAATAGATACTAAAGATACGGCCTCTCCTATCATTAATTCATAGCACAATGATACTGACTTTCAAGAAGATTCGGTCTAAATAAAATATGACTGAAGAAGAGTGATAAATGACGCTACGTATGTTTGATTAACTATTAAAGTTCATAAGATATAGCACAAGATGTTTATAAACATTGTTATTGAGAGTTACAATTAACTTTTTGAACAACTCAGGCTGATGGTTGATGCATCTTTCGAAAAGTTCTCGATAGGCTACGATTTTAGTATGATGTTCTCCATTTTCGAGATAAAGATAAAATTAATTTATCCAACATGAATTTAATCAAATAAAAGAAAACGGAAAATGCATTTCGGCATTAAAACTTATGTGTATGTATGTACGCATATATAGATATTACTGGAATCTTGCGATTATTCTACAATCACCCATAAGCTTACCCGTAGTTGCAATACGTAATCTTTTATTTCTAAATACAAGTTTAACTAGTAATGGTATAACAAGTTTTAAAATTGTCACCATGCCACCAATTAAACCAAAGACTGTAGT